GTGTGTGTGTGTGTGTGTGTGTACAGGGTGTGTGCCATATTTATATAAAATAGCTATGTTTGTGTACACATGTGTGGGTGGGTTCATATTCAGGCTTGCTATGTACCCTCAATGCCCGTGGGCGGCACCGCTGTCCGGGCGCTGGTGCTGAAGCCGCGGCGGCGGCGGCGGCGGCGGCGGCGACGGCGGCGGCTGCGGCAGCGGGCTCGTGCGCATGCGTTGGCTCCGAGCGGGCCGGTCGCTGGGCGGGGCGAGGAGGAGCCCAGCCAATGGGCGCGGGGCCGCGGCGGGAGCCGAGCGGGCTGTGTCTAAGATCGCGGGGCTGCGGGTGTGAGCGCCCCTCTGCTCCCGCCAGGCCTGAGAGCCGCTGGTAGGAGTCCGGCCGTCCAACGCTTCCTAGCGGCCTCGGCCTTCCCGTAAGGAACCAGGGAGCGCGACTCATGCAGAGATCCTCACAAATCGAATCGCAGACCCTTCCAGCCGGATAGAGGGCGAGCTCTACGCCCGCACTTCACGCTGGACGCCCCGGGTCGAGAGGCGGGCGGCTTCAGGCCTGCGAGGTTCCCGGCTCGCTCAGCGCTCTCCTCCCCTCCCCAGTGGGGCGAGGCATCAGCTTGGGTCTTTCTTCCCATTCTTCTGGACCTCGACTTGGACCTGAATGTGCACCCCTCAGATGTGGAGCCCTGACTCCGTTATTCAAGTGCGGAGTCTGGTGGAGCGGGGGTGGGGGGAAGAAGAGAGGCACTCAGATCATCCCCAGCTCTTTCTCTTTGTTTTTTAAGATTTAAAAGGTTTATAAAGCAAACAAATCACAGTAAGCTAAGGTTAATTTTTGATTCAGAGGGTACATGTGCAGATTTGTTATAAGGGTATATTGAATGATCCCAGATCCTTTTTTATAGTCACCCCTGTCCCCCCACCTCAGCCTAGGAGGTGCCCAATAGCCACCAACTCCAGGGCACTGGGAGGTGCCCAGTAGCCACTGACTCCAGTGCCACCTCCCCCACCAGGGAGTAGCTGTGAGTAGAGCACATTTGGGTATGATGGACTGTGGACAGGCCTGGCTAAGGGGTCTAGAACTAGAATAGATATTGGCAGTGTGAAAAGCCGGCGGGGGGCAGGGAGTGGAGTGGATCCCGGATGTGGGATTTGACTAGGCAGAAAGGGTTTTACGGCAAGCAGGCTGTTCAGGGTCTGGTTACTTGTGCAGGGAGAGGCCTTGGTTGAAGACATGGGGCTGAGCAGAGAGTCAGGAACACTTGGATTATAGGTATCCCAAAAATGTGTGCCAATGCCAATCTATGTAAGACACAGGTCATAAGGAATGGGGTGGAAGAATCTAGAAGTGTAGAAGTGTTGGGTCTGCCCTGAATAGCTTATACTTGGTTGGAGAGAGAAAGGGCCAGCCCATAAATTGGTGCCAATAGGCAAGATATGATCAAGCCCATGAAGTGACTGATACCGTCTCTTTTCTGCAGCTTGCTGCAGAGAAGGGGACAGTATGCAAAGAGGAAGGACCTCTTTCTTCCTAAGAGGCCTTAGAGAAGGCTTCTTGGAGATGGTGGACTTCAGCTGGCTTGGAAGAAAGGCTAGGCTTTGAAATGTGGAGGTAGGAGAGAGGGAAGGCATTCCTGACCTGGGGTGGGGGCATTCTTCCTTACCTGTGCAAACAAAGGTAAGGAGGCTGGAAAGTTCAGCATATTTTCAGGGAATGGTGAGAAACCCATCTGGATTGGAGGGAGGCCTCTGGTCTGTAGAGTGAGGCATGCAAGTTGCAACCTTGGAAGGCCCACCAGATCTGGACGTACAGGATGGCACAGGGGTAATGAGGCCACACTTGAGGTCCCTCGATGGGAGGGGACAGGAGTGAAAAGGAAAGGAGAGGTGACCTTACACAGCCATTTATAGTGAGCAACATAGCATTGAGCTTCTGAGAATGCCAGGATGGTTGCCCCATCTTCACAACTAGGGAGCTTGGAGACAACTGGGTCCTCTGACAGCCAGGTTGGATATGAAGGAAGACAGGCTCTTTAAATAATAGAACGTGACCTCTAGGAGGCTGTTTATTAGGAAAAGAAGATTGTGGTTCAGGCCTCATTCCAGGTCAGCTGGGCAATTCTCTCAGGCTTGCCATCTTGTGTCCTGTTTTCTTCTGCTTCCTCAGTGATGTGGACCAGGGTGTGGGTGCCCTGGGCCATGGCCAGGGGGAGGCCCGCAGGGCCCTGGGCCGTGGCCAGGGGGTGGCCCGCAGGGCCCTGGGCCGTGGCCGGGGGGTGGCCCGCAGGGCCCTGGGCCGTGGCCGGGGGGTGGCCCGCAGGGCCCTGGGCCGTGGCCGGGGGGTGGCCCGCAGTGACCTGGAGGATGGCCATGCCCCCCACAGTGGCAGTGCCCCTGTGGAAAGTCAAATGAACAATGTCAGAGTCTGAGGTCGGGGCTAAGCTTACCTGAGATAAACTCTACCTCACTCCACTTCCCTGGGGGACTCAGGACTCCTAGGCACCCAAGGAGTTGCGGTGGAGGGCTGGGGACATGGGTAGCATGTCCCATGCCTTTTGTCTTGGTGAGGCCAGAACACTGAGCAGATAAAAGGGGAGCAACCTAGATTTATTGGTTTCTATTCTTTGAGCCAAGATATGACTCCCACTCCCTGGACCTCAATTTACTTTATTTGCAACTAAGAAGCAGAATTATTTCATCTTCTCCTTTCTCTCACCCAGGAACCCTGGCAGAGTGATTAGAGGCTTTGCCATGCTAGGAACTGCAGGCTCATTGTACTTAGGAGCAAGGGTGAGGCTGGAGGAGGCTACAGAAGAGCTCTTTGAAGGCCAGGGGCAGGGGGAGACAGGAGGCTGGGTCAGGGGAGATGAAAGAGCTGAGGAGGAGAAGGAGGACGGTTGGAGGATGAGAGGACACGGAGGGTAGGAGGTGGCAAGGTGAGGATGTATGTATTATTTTTATGGTGTGTGTGTGTGTGTGTGTGTACAGGGTGTGTGCCATATTTATATAAAATAGCTATGTTTGTGTACACATGTGTGGGTGGGTTCATATTCAGGCTTGCTATGTACACAGATACGTGCATGGAGTGCATGGTTCTGTGTACATGGGTATGTGTGAACTCATACCTGTTTCTGAGCGGATGCCAGACCCAAGAAATCAGGAAGAATAGAAAGTAAAGTAAAAGCTTTTCTGCCTCAGCCAGAAGAGGCCTGGAAAAAGTGTGGTTTAACCTTCCATCTTGGCTGGAATCATTCCTGAAGCCCCAAGGCCAGAGGAGGTTTTTTTTTTTTTTTTTTTTTTTGCCTCTTGCCACAAGCCCAGGGGGCAGGCAAGAGACACCACCTTGCTTCTGTGATAGGGGACTGGAGGTCTGGGGCCCTGTGAAGCAGAGTGAGGCTATGCTCCCACTGTCCAGGCTGGATACCTCCCCAGTCTCCTTCTGCCTCCTAGGGCTTAATTAGGGCTTGGTACCAGTGGGGAAGAGGCAGGCTCCAGGGCTGGGCGCTTTCCTGTGACCATGGTAGAGCAGCCCCTGCCCCATCCAGGCTCAGTGGTGCCTGGAAACAGCCACTTCCACCCCACCTGCCTCTCCGCTTATGGCTCTTTTGTTTGGGGGTTGGCACCCAGACCCAGGCCTAAGAACTGAGTCTGCTGGTGGTAGCCAGTGGGTGAGAAGAGGTGGAGGAGAGGCAGTCTAGTTTCTCTGGCAGGAGTAGGTCCTAGGGGCCCCATAGTGTGCTTGGAGTTTGGGAGCAAGCCAGCCATCCAGCGAGGCTGTGGGGGTAGCCAGGAAAGCAGAAAAGCATAGAACAGGCGGGGAAGCAGCAGGAGAGAGGATGGGCTGCTAGGGCAGGGAGGGGACGTGAGGAAAGGAGAGAGACAGATGGGAAAACAGAGGAGAGAACGCCAAGAAGGCTGCAGCCAGCAGAGGGTGGAGGAGTGCAGCGCTGCCCCCTCCCCCACAGGGCTGATGCCTGAGCCTGCTCCCTTCTTTTCATTTGGGGGAAGTGGTGGCCGCTCCCTGAGGGTCTAGGAAGGAGGCTGGAGATCTGGAGGACATTACAGTGGGGAGGAAAAAGGGGAGAACATTGGAGGAACTTTCGTACCTTTGGACCTGTGGGAAAGGAAGGGAAAAAAAGCAGCAGCTTTGGTCATTTGGTTCTGCAGTAAAAACAACCTATCTTCTCCCTGGCGCTAAGGATTTCGTGCCCACACCCCTACCCCAAGAGGGCCTCTCAGACGTGGTCACTTGCCCGTCACTTGTCTGGCAATCATTCATTCATTCTCTCAGCAAAGATACATATTGGAAGTCAATGTAAGATTCAGCAGTGTGTCCCTGTGTGCTCAAGGGCTGGCTGAGTCCTGGGTGGAGCGGCGCCTGTCAGGAGGTATGGGTCCCAACTCTGTCAGCCTGGAGCTGCTCCATAATGGCCAACCCTGTCATTCACCTGATTCTTGCTTCTACCTCCGTGCCAGCCACCCTGCCAACCTCCCCATCTGTCCTCTGCCCCTGTCACGCCCCGGGTATCTCGGGCCAATCTCTGCTCAGTCTCTCAGAGCTGTTTTTTGTCTCCTGTTTATGACCTTCTGTTCTCAGCTCTTGGCCTTTGCTCCTGCCTCCTGCCACTTGGAAATCTCCCTGGTGCAGCTGTGTGTTGCCCTCCTGCAGGAAATCCACATGGGGGCCATCCAGGCTGCCCAGCTGTGGGTCCGGTGGGCTCCTTCTGTAGCACCCACCTGAGTGGTCCTGCGTGTTCTGAAGTGCCCCATTGGTGGGGATCACCTGCTACTTCTTAAAGGCTAGGACGGTCTTTTGTTCATTTCGAGGGAAGCCAATGGCACAGCTCCCAAGAGCTGGATTCTGGATTCCGACCCAGCCGCACCTCCACGACCTTGCCCTGAGCATAACCCCTAGCTCCCTTGGGCCTCGAGTGTGCAGTGGGAGAAGCTCCTGCCCTGTTAAGAAACATGAGTAAGCGTGTTTCTTAAACTGGAACATGTTTTACAGAATATAAGGGCTTGTCTTCATTGTGGATCCCTACTACCGCCTTCATACAAACACACACGCACATACATTTTTGGCATGCACTGGTTATGGCTGACTGATAGTCCCTGCCTTTACTGCTCTCCCCCTTCTTCCAGTTCCCAGCCTCCCAGCCACAGTGCTTACCTGGGTGCATCTTTTTGGAGTAAGAGCAGGGAATGACACAAGGAATACCTGTGTTCAAAAGGTAACTTTTAGTTTCCTGTCATCTAAATTGTAGTCGGTCCTTTCTCCCTCCCAGAGATGCACACACACACACACACACACCCCCTTCAAAGGATGAAAGGGAAAAAACTGCTCCCTCTGGCTTAGCTTGGCACTGTAGCTTCCAGGCATGGGGGTTAAATGGACACAGCAGGTTCACCTACATGGTGGGTGGATGGAGACACAACAGCACCATGTACCAGCCCCTACACCCCATACTCTTACACTTGCTCCCTCTATACTCACAATTATGTGTTAATTCGATTCCACTTGGGAAGATTTCAGTATCCATTCATTTGCTAATTATTCATGTTATGTGCCTGCCCTGTGCCATGTCATGGTACCCCTGTCCCTACAGACTCTTGTCTTGTGTAAACAGCTGGCATGGTGTGGGAGCAGGAAGCTCGGAGCGATCACTGTGCCCAGAGCAGGGAAGGGGAGGAGGGGTTGCTAGGACAGGAATGGGGTTGGTGGCCCCTGAGGGCACAAGTGAATGGATTTTTGCCCTGGGGCACAAGTGAATGGAAAGCCTTCCATGGGGTCCTAGTTGCTTATACCTGTCTCCTCCCACCAGGATTGGAACGGGGTGGGAGCTTGGAGTCTGAGCCAACTTGTCATTCACCAACAAGCCGTGCTGTCATGAGATGGAGCTGCTGAGGCACCCTGGTGCCAAGGCTGGCGATGTCTTGCTTGGGGCTGGCAAGTCACAATAGACAACCCCAGAATGGACCCAGTGAACATACAGTACATTCATTTTTTTTTCAGCCATTAAATGGGAGTGTAGTATGTGATGCCAGGAGCAAATACTTGACATCAGGGCTTTCTGGTACTTACAAGGTTGCTGAGCATACAAAAATAAACAGTGCCTCCAACACAACAACGCTAGCCTCTTGCAAGACATGGCCCCCTGAACCTCTTTTTTTTCTAGGGAACCGTAGTGCCTCTTCAAAATTTTTTTTTTGGGACAGAGTCTCGCTTTGTCATTGAGGCTGGAGTGCAGTGGCATGATCACAACTCACTGCAGCCTCGAGCTCCAGGGTTCAAGCAATCGTCCCACCTTAGCCCCCCAAGCAGCTGGGACTATAGGTATGTGCCACCACACCCAGCTAATTTAAAAAAATTTGTTGGCTGGGCACGGCGGCTCACGCCTGTAATCCTAGCACTTTGGGAGGCCTAGGTGGGTGGATCATTTGAGGTCAGGAGTTCGAGACCAGCCTGTCCAATATGGTGAAACTCCATCTCTACTAAAAATACAAAAATTAGCTGGGCATGGTGGTGAGCACCTGTAGTCCCAGCTACTCGGGAGGCTGAGGCAGGAGAATCGCTTGAACCTGGGAGGCGGAGGCTGCAGTGAGCCGAGATCACAGCACTGCACTCCAGCCTGGGTGACAGAGCAAGACTCTGTCTCAAAAACAAAAATTGTTTTGTAGAGACAAGGTCTCACTATGTTGCCTAGGCTCAAGTGATTCTCTCACCTTAGCTTCCCAAAGTGCTGGATTACAGTCATGAGCCACTGCACCCAGCCTCCTGCACCTCTTGAGCTACCCATTTTCCCATTTTCATTGGCTTCTACTTGTACTAAAATGTTCGGCTGAGGTCAGCCTGTGTTCTATACCCATGGTCCTTCCTGCTCCCTCATCCTTTCCCTTAGTGAGTGATTAATTAGACTGGAAGAGACCCATGGGGCTGGGCTTTGCAGGGAGGAGAGGTAAAGAAGACCTTAGGGCCAGTCAGGATCTGGGTAAGATGAAAGAGAAAAGACAATCCTCAGAATGTATCTCCCCAATTCAGGCCCAGGTGTTTGAGGGGCAGGAGTTGGCAGCTCTGGAAGGGACCTCATGCAGTTTCTTCCACTCTCAGCTAAGCCCTGCTGCCTGGCATGGCAAAGGCTGTGAATCAATCATAACTGAAGAAGAAAGTGGAAGTGCAGGGGCCCAGAACGGGAGTGGGGACAGGGCAAATGGACAGACACACACTCCCACGCAGAGACACCGAAGCACAGATACCAATTCAATGGACATACGCACCTAGAGAGACCCTGACCACATGGACACACAACATAGCCCACAGAGACCCTCCTGTCCCCAGCCAACAGCAAGCAGAGCCAGGTCCCTACCTGAGAGTTCAGAGCAGGGACAGGAAGTCTGGGGCACTGTCTGTCCTCAGGTGTATTTGTACAGGTCAGGGAGGGGCTGGGATTGACCAGGTGCACTGGGAGGGCCAGGTGCAGAAGGCTAGAGGGAATGAAGAGGGATGGGTTAATCCTTATCTGGGCAAAGGACAGTTGAAAGCAGGATGTGTGTGTGTGTGTGTGTGTGTATGTGTGTGTGTGTGTGTGTGTGTGATGGGGAGCCTGGGGAACAAGCCGTTACCAGACTGGTATGGTAATGAGATGCCACAGAATCCAGGCAGAAGTCGCCAATGCTGGCAAGGCTGTTTACACCAGGGACTGGCTCTGAACATTTGTAGAGCTCCTACTGAATGCCAGGCCAGGCATGCGGTGCTTCACATGCATTAGTAACCCAATGACTCCTACAAGATAGATAGAATGATTACCTCCTTTCAGCAGGTGGAGGAAGAAATAGTGACCCTAGTGGAGGACCTGGTGGAATCTTTGCCTTGGGCGCCAAGGAGCTAGCCTGAGAATGGAAATTAGACACAGAACAGGGAACTTTTGGGATGGATCTAGGCAGGCGGGGAGGGAGCCCAGGCTGCCAGCTTGCTCTGCACTCCGAAAGCCCCTTGTAGTCTGGTCTGCACTGACCCCTGTGGCCTCTGATGCCTGCCACAACCTCTTGCTTGGCATGCTTTAGCCATGGTGGCCTTCCTTAGTCTCCTGCAGGCAGACCTGGTGCCCTTGCTCAACTCTCCTGTCTCCCTGGATCCTTGCTCTTAATGTCTCTTACTCCCAGTGGGGATTCGGCTCCTCAGAGGCAGGGGCTGTGGTGACTTCCTTCCTTCCCTCCTTCCCTCCTTCCCTCCTCCTCCTCCTCTCCACTACCTCCTCCTCCTCTCCACTACCTCCTCCTCCTCCGCCACCTCCTCCTCCGCTCTTTCTCTCTTTCTTTCTTTTCTTTCTGAGACAGAGTCTCGCCGTGTCACCCAGGCTGGAGTGCAGTTGTACAATCTCAGCTCACTGCGTCCTGGGTTCAAGCGATTCTCCTGCCTCAGCCATCTGAGGAGCTGGAATTGCAGGCGCCCACCACCACTCCCGGCTAACTTTTGTATTTTTAGTAGAGATGGGGTTTCACCATGTTAGCCCAGCTAGTCTCAAACTCCTGACCTCAGGTGATCCACCCACCTCGACCTCCCAAAGTGTCGGGATTACAGGTGTGAGCCACAACGCCCGGCCTGTGGTGGCTTTCTTAGTCATCGTTATATCCCCTCAATTAGAGCAGTAACAGAACCACCATCAGGATACAATTTGGAAAATGGAGAGGAGGAAAAGTGTGATCCTCCTTTATCTCCATGGTGGGCAGGAAAGTTTTTGTGTGCCAGGTTCTCTTACAGTATCAGTTATCTCATATCAGCTCTTGGAGGTAACAGTTATGATCTTCCCCTCTTTTATGGATTAAAGCATGCCAGGGTTCAGAGACATTAAGAAATCTGCTTGAGGTCACCCACCAAGTGTGTAGTTAGTCCCAGCTGTGGACTATTTGAGTCTAGAGCCCGGGCCCTTTCTTCATCTTAGGTAATCTCTCCTTTTAGGAACGCTCTTCTGAAAAATTCCAGCCTGCTTTGCTAACATTGTTGGTCAAAGGACTTTGGTTTATGACTAGGTGGAAGGTTATTAGTCCCTTTTGCACACATTTGCTGTGGGTCTATGGGCAACCAGGACAGGGTGAGCTACTGGGGAGGGGCAGAAGTCCCAGGGGAGGTTTACAAAGGTGTGGTGCCTGCCAGGCTCCGACCCACGCTGTGTGAATGTTACCAACTGCATCCACCACTCACCGCGCTCACCGCCCTCACCAGCCCTCTAAGCCTTATTCTGCCTCCTTTTCCCCTTCAGGGACCTTGACACTGCAACCTCTCCACCTCTGCCCTCAGCCTTTGGCAGGAAGCTGAGAGACCTGTGCCTTCACAAACCCCCAGGAGGAAAGCAGGGGCTGAAAGGAATGCATGGGGGCCCAGTGCTGTGGGTTCCAGGCTTGAGGCCTAAGTTCTCCATCTCAGGAATCAGGGTCTGAGCTCCAGTGGGTGCCAATCACAGAACCCACTACAGCAGCAGACAGGCAGGGTAGTGAGGCCTTGGGTGGTGGCAGTAGGCCCTGCCTTGATGGGGTGGACCGAGAAGACAGGGCAGCCCCAGAAGCCCGAGTGGGCCCGGAGACCTTTGGGAAGTGAGGAGGGCACCCACAGCAGTGGTGGCATGTGGGAGATGATCTGTAGCAGGGTGTATGTGTTCATGAACTCTTCTCCTAAGATTCTGAGGGCAAGCAGGGCCTGCTCCGTGTGTGTGGCCCCGCTACTCAGCAGGCACTGTGCCTTACAGATAGTAACCGCTCACCAAGTGCTTGGGCTTATTGCCTGGCTGAGAGTGGTGGCACTTCCCTACTAGAAAGTCACAGAGTGGAGAGGGGAGCTCTGTGGAGCCAGAGGAGATACTTCTGGGGTGAGGGGCTGGGATCTGGAAGAGGAGACGGGAGATCAGGGAGGGAGGCTGAAGGGCATCTCCTGGGGCAGTGGAGCCCATGGGGGGGCTCTGGGAGGGTGAGGACACACAGTGAAGGCCCTCTCTGGAACCCTCAATGCCTGTCAGCAGAACCAGGAAGGCCCCTCTGCCTCCTGGGCTGCCCTGCAGGGTGGGGAGGGAGGCAGGACAGCCAGGCGCCGCTTCTTGGGTGGACAGGTTTTCCACGGTATGAGGCCAAAGGTATGTGCTGGAGAGAATGCTGCAGGGATGGGCCACCGGCTACAGTGATTCAGAGGCAGTTGGGAGGGCCCCGCCCTAGAGACTCCTGGGCAGGTCTCTGACCTTCATCTTCAAAGAGAAGCTAATAGCATCTGCCCTGGCTAATTCACAGGTTGCAGAGCTTGAAGAGATCCAATGGCATCACCTGTGTGAGGCTCTGGCCGTGTTAGACGTTGGAGTGCGGGGTGTTACTGTTATCAGTGTGAATATCAGTGGTGAGCTCTATGCCTCATCAGAGGCTCCCTTGCCCAGCCCTGGGGACCTGCCTGCGGAACACTTCCCTTGCACCCTTGGCCTTTGGTCCCTCAGAGCATTTCACTGACAGGCCCCCAAGAGGCCCCCTCCCTGCCCCAGCCTCCTGCAGCCCCTCTTACCCCAGGGCGCCGAGCGTCCAGGTGTTCTTAGGACCGAGGCATGTTCCAGACTCAGGACTTTCAGTGCTAAAACTGAGAGAGTTCCAGGCAAATGGGGACAATTGGTCACCGTGCTGCCCACTTGCAGGTGTCCAGGTCCGGCCTTTCAGCGCGCTCTCTCACCCTGGTTGCCCTTTCCTGCCTAGCCACCTCGGGGCTGGGTGAAAGCCCCTGAGCTACACCGCCTAAGGCCGCTCCAGAGGCCCATGCCCTCTCCTCAGTGGCCTGGCCTCTCACCCTTCCCTCAGCCTCCTACTTACCTTCTCTCCATGCCTCAAAGCCACACTGGACCTTTTCCCTGCCCCAGAGATGCCGCCTTAGACCCATGTGACAAGCCTAGAGAAGGGGTAGAGACTGTCCCACCCAGACTTCCAGCCTCTGCTGCCCAGCGGGCACCCTTCCCGGAGACATCAGGCCAGGCTGTTCCGTGCCTGACTCTGTGAGGGCCCCCAGGCCTGAGCGTTTAATGCTGCCTAGGCCGTTTCTCTCTCCACTGTGTCACACCAGCCATGCCAAGACTCTGAGTCCTCCTGAAGGCTCTCCCGCTCACCTTTTCCCTGGACACCCCTTGCCCTGCTGGGCCCAGATGCCTTCCTCCAGTATCTGGACACAGCCTCCTAACTGCCCCCAACCCTACCCCTGCCCTGTGCGACCCATCTAGATCACTCTGGCTTCAGCTTCCTAAACCACGAGGTGGCCTCAGCAGCAGCTGCTGTAAAACTCTCAGCCCCTCTGGATGACTCCAGCTCCTCAGTCTGCCTTCCTAACCTCCCTAGTCTGGTCTGTACCTTCCTAACCTCATGTCCTCTTGCAGGTAAAAGCCACTGCCACTCCCCTGCCTCCTGTGATCCTGCTATCTCCTGTGCATTCATGGAATGCCCTCTCCTCCCATCCGCCTGCCTGAATCTTGCTCATCCCCTTGAAGCTCGTCTCCTTCTGGAAAACGCCCTGGTGGGCCTGAGCCCTGTGCTGGCTGGGCCTCAGGCCAATGCAGCCTGGTGTTGGCAGGTGCCTCTGAGGTCCTTCCCTGCTGGTTCCTACATCGCTTTGGCCAGGTGAAGCACGCAGTAGGTGCTCTGTTCATAGCATGGTATGAGCAAGCCCCAACAGGGCAGCACTCAACCTCTGCTTGTGGACAGCTCTGGGCTGGGGGTCAAGGTGGGGCTTCTGGGAAAACACAATGAGTCACCTTTGCACCATGAACAGATCCAATGTTGGTGCATGGGAATAGAGCACCAACAAACAAGGGAGACCTCAGGGGCTCAGGTCCACGCCAGCGTTCACCTCCTATTGCTGGGTCTGACGCTGGAAGGTTCGGGATGCCCCAGCCCTGGGTATGTCCTGCAGAGCAGAATGAAGGAATGTGTCCTTGGTCCAGCTTTCCTTCTGCTTCTAATGGCTCAAAGGACTTCAGCCTGGGCCCCACCCTGGTCTAGCATATGTGTTCTTCCGAAAGGTGTGGCCCAGACTTTGTCCCTGGCAACTGGAGCCTGCCCAGGGCTGGTCCCTCCAGCCCCACCTCATGCAGTCTTGAGTTCTCCCCACCCAGGACCAGCCCTGGCCTGACCACACCTCAAGTCCTGGGAGCCAGGACAGCAGTTTCTTGAGACAAGAATTGCCATGGTGGGGCAGGGAGGGAGGATGGGTTTGCAGGAAGGTAATGCTGTGGTTTAAGCCACTCTCTGACCCCTTTCTATCTGGAGGTTCCCCCTGCCTACTAGCTGGGCTCTCATGCAATCCAGCCTGGCTCACTGTCTTCCTCAATACTCACCCACACCCCCAGGGCTGGCTAGTGGCACCAGTGACCTCTAAGGGCTCGGCCCTCCACCAAGAAGAATGGTTCCTGAACACTGGGGTATGATCCTAGAACTGGGCCTAGGGGGATCCAGAGGCAGGTAAAGTGCAGGGACTACTTCCAGAAGCACCAGTGCTGGTTGGGGACAGATGGCAACCAGGGCCTGGGACTTCAGAGGGGACAAAGAGGGACAGGGAGGACTCCCTGGAGAGGGTGTGCTGGGC